AAGGGACAAAATACGTACTGGGGGGGGGGCTACGTTTACTTGGCCCCCCCAAATGTTTTTTCGGATTTCTAAAAACGATAATGGCGCAAGAGTTATTATCGGTGGCGCATATGAGCGCATAACGAGCGCATTCATTTCAAAATAATACGACTATGAAATCTCTCAGTGGGGGGGCCAAGTTAACGGACCCACAAAATTTTAACTGTAACCTCTGTTTATTTACTAAAGTTATTATGTTACATTTATATAAACAAATTTAAACTTGTTAAAGGCACTGACCGACATACATACGACACCCGAGGCAAGCATGACCTTATAGAAAATAAAAGTATTCATTCATATTGCAAAAATCGCCTTTTAATGCAGGAATTCGTTTTTTTAACAAACTCCCAGCAAGGGTCAAAAACTGCGAAACAGCTGTTAAATTTAAGAGAGAGCTAACACTCGTTTTATTACAAAAGTGTTTCTTTCCACTGGGAGAATTTGAAGCCTTCTGCCTTTAAATGTTGTACTGTCTTTCCATTTTGGTTTATACAGGGTGTCCCTAAAAGGTCTGTACAACGGGCTGCCAGGGGTTCTTGGTATCAAAATAGGACGATTTAACCCAACTTACCTCTATCCAAAAGTGCTTCGGTAAGGCGCTATCTACCGCCAAAGATTAAAAAAAAAAATCGTTATTTTTATTTTATCGGAAAATGGTTTTGCCGATTAAAATGAAATTCGGGATGTGAATGTCTAATGTAGAAAGGGTGATATCATCGTTTTGATTGTAGTTGCTATGTAGGTGGTAAAATGCTGACCATCCACATCTGAAGAGGTCTAAAACTTTTTAACTACTATTTTGACGGTTCTGAATTTTTAGACACTGATAGACAGTTTACTTGCAAGCATTTTTTGTCTCTTGATGAATATCGCCATCTGTGATGTTTTACGAAAAAAAAAATTTAGGCATGATGAATGGCATGCACCATACATGCGATTGTTCCTCAAAAATCATAAGTGCAAGCAAGAAGACGTCTTTCAACAGCCGCAAACGTTTGATGGTTTGGTACACGACGATTTGGAAACCTGTAAGTATACTCTCTGACGCATTGGCGACAATTTCCACGACAGTATCCAAACACTAATAGCATATCAGTTAACTCTGCGTTACTGTATTGAAAGGCCATATTACAATTTTAACAATGAAATTTTAAGTCTTCAAGCAAAACGTAAATTGTTAAAGTTTAAGAAACATCAAACCAAAATTACGCCACTCTAAGGTTTCACAGCCATCTTCTGATTTTTTGAGGAACAATCGCATGTATGGTGCATGCCATTCATCATGCCTAATTTTTTTTTTTTCGTAAACCATCACAGATAGCGATATTCATCAAGAGACAAAAAATGCTTGCAAGTAAACTGTCTATCAGTGTCTAAAAATTCAATACCGTCAAAATAGTAGTTAAAAAGTTTTAGACCTCTTCAGATGTGGATGGTCAGTATTTTACCACCTACATAGCAACTACAATCAAAACGATGATATCACAAAAACCCTTTTTACATTAGACATTCACATCCCGAATTTCATTTTAATCGGCAAAACCATTTTCCGATAAAATAAAAATAACGATTTTTTTTTAATCTTTGGCGGTAGATAGCGCCTTACCGAAGCATTTTTGGATAGAGGTAAGTTGGGTTAAATCGTCCTATTTTGATACCAAGAACCCCTGGTAGCGCGTTGTAGAGACCTTTTAGGGACACCCTGTATATCTGTACCTGTATCCTTTAACTTATTTGTCAATCCTGTACATGTTTGTTTTATACATACTATATGTATGTCTTTTTTACTGACTTGATCAATGCCACATACTTTGGTCTATGATCTAATAAAGTTTATTATTATTATTATTATTTTCATCGCGTAAAAATGAGTTCGTCTCTTTTAGGCTTTTAGATGTTTTTATAATGAATCCCGGATTATGCGTCCAGATTGCATTTATCGTATATAAAAGAGTAACGTTTCTTGAAGTTGTAAAATGTCTTCTGAAAGTACGATCTTTACATGAATTTTTATTGTACAAAACTAAATCTAAAATCAATAGTCATCAAATTAATGAACGTTCATTTGCTACACAGAGAACACTTCTTGCTTAGCCGACTAGTCATACGTCCTGCCTGATCCACTTCACCATTTTCGGTTGGCTGATTAGATGGAGGCGATCCTGAAATAGTCTTCGCATATTTTGATGGTAATGTTCAAATAGTACGGTAAAGGGTGCGATACTTCATATGGGCCAACGCCCTCATTCATTTACACTTTACAAATAAAAAATGAAAACACAGTATGTCATTGTCAGTTTTTTCATTTTACGTTGTGATGAAACTTGTTGTCTCATTTCGCTTCCCCATATTACGTCAGCTTACACATTTGTCACTATAGAAGCTTAAAATTGTATCCGAAAGCTCATAGATTATATAAGCTCTGCTACATCTCTGTTACTTTATTCTTACATTCTTACATTTTATTAATCTAAAAGGTATTAGAAGTTATAGTACGTTAACGAGGATGTGATTATAGTTCTTGATTGTTTTAGCGTTATTCAAAGGCCATTACAAATTAACTAAAAAAAAACGAACAAAAATAATATTCAATTTTGCGATTTAGGGGTGTAAATTTATAAACTTTATATTTTTTATGAAAAGTTAATTGGTATTCACGCTTCCAATAACCATAAATCACCCTAATCAATTCCAAAGTGTAAAAGCGCCTTACGAAATTGCCATGAAATTTATTGCCATGTATTTTTATGCAATAAATAATAAGAAGCGGTCTCGTTAACAGCGTACCTATCCAAAGCAAAACTTTCGAAACATTCTCCATCCTCCTTAACTAAAGAGCTCTACAAGGATTAGAACAAATGACGACCTCGACGTCGACGTAGTAATATTGTAGGTGACATCCCAGTAATGATATTTATGTATATTTTATGGTCATAAATATAATAATTGTGTGAGTTTAGGTAACACCCTAGAGATGTCTCATTTGTCTCATTGCTACGTAGATTACTTTCATTAGTGCAAGTCCCAGTTGCTTCATTTTTCTCTTGTGCTTCGGAATAAATGGCATGGCAACTTTGAGCCACGCTTGATTAAGCATTGAATGGTATATTGAAATCAACGTATAAAATGGAAACGATTTTACTGCGCAAAATTTATGGGAGTAGGTGGCGAGTTTGGAGTTTAAATTTTATTACGAGTAAAATTTTATCGTAAGCGTTACAGACAAATTCCATAGTTCGGAATTTTACGCATCAAATAAATGTTCATGGTAAGTGAATCTCAACGAGTAATTGAGTGACATATCATCAATTTGTACTTTTTGATGACGCTATTAAAGCTTGTATTTCATGCCGTTTTTGATATTTTCCCATTAGCTGCGGCTGAAAGCCGCTCAACGATTACGATACAGTTGTGCGCTTAGCATTAATCCTCTCCTTCCTTCGTTCATTCCACTCTTTCCTTTTCTCTCAATTATGAAGCTTACTTCTCCAAAAAGATTGGATACAAAATGTTAACCTTAGGGGTAACTGTAAATAAGAATACTTTCAGTTTTAAGATGCCACGGAATCTAAATCGTAAAGTTGATATAATTTAAATTAGGTATGTAGGAATACCAAAATGTCCATTTTTCTGCTACATTTTATAAATTCATGAGTGAACTTAGAGCTTGTAATTCCAGTCCCTTACGTTTTTCCGGCCCCACATAACTTTTTCACGATGAAATAGGTTTTCAAATTCCTTTCAAAGGATGCGTTACCTATTCAAAATGGTAAAACTGATTTTTCCCTCTTTTACAGCCCTTACTTATTCTCTTCTCTTTTACAGAGATTAAATTATATGTCACTTATCAGGTGTCCCCAAACGTGAATTGGGGTTTCCTGTTGAAAGATATATAAAATTTCTCGTAGATCAGAATTTTCATTCGCATTCCTGTTTAGGGCTATAGTAGCATTTTGGGGTAGGAATGTAAGGAAAATCGGAGAGTGCATACTCAACAAGTTACGAAAATAATCGTAAACGGTAACCATACAGAAGCCGCTATATTTTTTGGGACACGAGTAGTCGCTGCGGACTCATGGTCCGCAGGGGTTATATACGACCCTACAGGGTTAATTTGGAGACCAGACTTCGGCAACGCTGCGGTACTAAACTTCGCCCTTCATTTGAATGTTTTGGAATAAATCTTTTCTTTTTTTGAATAATAATTATTATTATTACTATAAAAAAATATTACAAAAAATATAGTAAGTAAACGCTTTTTACATTTTTGAAAGTTTATAATAATGTACATACTAAAAATAAATAAATTAACTCTAATAACTGTTTAAAATAACATAAAAAGTAAGCTTATTTTCATTTACCAAGAGGCCCTTTGGATACATCTAATACTTACGGAGCGGACTGTTAGCACTGATGTTTTATAAGGGCATTGTCAGAAGGCAACAAGAGCATGAGAGCGGTGGGGGTCTAAATAGTCGCGCAATTACAAAAAAATCAATCGTGCGGGTGCGGAGCGAGAGTCCGCACACGATCACTGTAGGGTAACAAAAATTGTATTTCCCCATTAATGCCTTTTATAAAAAAAATTAGTTACTTACCCCAGCCAAATTCGTTTTCGACCATTTAATAAAAATGATGACAAACCGTTATTTGCAACAGCACCTTCTGTTAACATTTCGAAAAATTCTGTTGCAACTAAGAAAGTGGGCTCTGGATTTGACATACACAATGTATTTCGACGTGGGGTTTCAATTCACTTGTGTAAGAGTTAAAACTTTAGAAACAGTGCCCCCCCCCCCCCAACAACAACCTTGGGGAAAACCCGCGGTCTGACTGCGGTAACACCTAATGGCGTGAGCTAGTATTCGGTTACCTTCCTGCACCTTAACATCGTTTTACTTTTGCCATTACTTCTTTCTCTTAAAGTTACGCGATTAGGGTGATAACTGTACATCTCTCTTTTCATATGCGAAACTGAAAAAGTAACGATTTTTCAAACATGACTTAGGATAACGTTATTATGTAAGTAAAAGTTTATTGTTTTACTGCTTGCTTGCTTACTTCTTCATGGCAAAATTTTGAAACAACAACGAATTTCAAAACTTCTTCCCAAAACTTAAAAACCACCTCGAATATCTTATTTTATCCAGCATCCAAGACCACGACTTGGGCAAACCCCAGAGCAATGACTGAGAAATCCCGACGCATATGACCTTGGGAAATCCCAGCACAATGACTTTGGGAAATCTCAGCCGCATGACCTCGGAAAATCCCAGGGCAGTGACCTTGGGAAATTGTGACGTCAACAAATTCAAGATGGCGCAGGGTGTCCCTTTTCTACTGTGATAATTGGTAAATTTATGTCTCTCCCATACCCATATCTCGTAATTCGTATTATATTATGGAATGTCGTTTATCTGTATAATACGAATAATATAATAATGTCTTTATTTGGGGATTTTACAAAAGAACAGATCCAACAAAAAAGTGAGAAAAAAAATAGTCTAAAGACGAAGAGGTTTTGATTCCACCCATCCCTATGATTCCGAACGACATACCACTCGACTTTTTTTCTTATTATTTATTTCAGTTCGAATTTAATATTCATAGCTAAAGATAGGAAAAAGTCTGTCGAGCAAACTAGTTATAAATAGTCAGTAATACCGTTGTGTAAAGAATCGATTTCTACTCTCAACGGTAATACTATCTTTGAACATTTGCAGTGTTGTGACAAATTCAAGTAGGAGTTGTGTATATGTTAATTACTTACGAATACTAATGATCTAATTAAAATTAAGCATACATTCGGAGGTGTCTATAAACCTATCTCCGGAATAAGTAGGTAATCCTATCTCACGTCATTCATCGAAAGTAAGAAAGTTATAAAAAGCAAGAAGTAAATAAATGTTTGAAAGGTATTTTGCTTCAGTAATCACTAACATTTATTTTATATTCAAAGCTTACATCAAACTATGTAAATTGCTCCCAAGAACTAACAAAGTGTGTAATAAACATTAAACTTTCCATGTGAAATAAGATAGAATCAGATCTCCTAGAATAGATAACACAGAGAGAGCAATTGTAATTACTAAGTACCTACTTAAAAGTTTTTGATTTGTTTTTGTATGATTAGGTACCTTGTTAAAGTTTAGAGTCATTGAATTCCTAAAATATTCTCCCTTCGGTTACAAAAGCGCTCTCCTCGGCGCTCTCTGTGTTATTATTTTATTAATGATATTATTTGCAAAGTTTAAGCCTAAATTTCAAAGTAGACATGATTGAGTTTATCTATCAAAAAGCGTACTCCTCAACATCAAATTTCTTCTGACATCTGTTCTAAATTTCTGGAATTTGAACTTTAAAGCGACATTCGCGGACATGTCTCATGAATGTTGAACGTAATCAATTTCCTTGAGGGTTTATAACTGAATAAATTCTTGCCTTCTAAATCCGTTTTTCAAATGTCACATTTAAAGTAGGACATTATGTGGAGCGGAACAATTTCATGTTGAAATAATTTAAATGCGCTTTTACGTGATCAATTGGGCACCCACTGCCCTTGTACCGAACAACTCCAATACTAATTCGAAATTACACATATAGCAATATTTGAGTATTAATTTTCTTCTTCATCATCATCACCGTCGAAAATTTGCAATTCAATATTATTATCGTTGTCAAGGACATTTGCTTCCAGATCTTCCAGAATTTCGGGGTCAAATGCACTGTCGTCATCGAGATCACTTTGATAGGGTGAAGCGTTAAGGCACGCTTGTCCATTACACTGGCCGCAAGCTATAGAACATTGCAACCCCGATTTCCTGCATCCACAGCGTGAACCACAACCATTCTTGCAGTTGCAAATTATTGTACTAAGCAATTCATTTGGACTTACGGTTAACCTTGAATTAGACTGTAAAGTGTAAACCACTAAGCGCCGCGCGCTCACCGTCATTTATCTCAATAACCCTTGAGTATACAGAAAAATGTTTGGGGTAAAAGTTGTAGATAATTTTATTCCCTACACTTTTTATAATAAGCACAAATGGCATTAAAACCATAGGAAACGAGATATTTGCAAAAAAAAACCATTTTTGAGACCTTTGACCTTGAATATCTTAAGACGCGGACATGAGATTTTATGTGACTTTTGAGACAACTTTCAGAATGACAAAATAAAGGTTTACACAAGTTTATAGCTTATTATCTTTCATTCCGAGGTGAAACACTAATATGACTGGACCAATATATTAATAGTGAATGTTAAAAAAAACAGCTCCAGTGGTGAAAGTAAAGCAATAGAGGCTTAGTAAATTAAGCAACTCCAACCGTCACATGAAACCTATAAGAAAACAAATAGTAAAGCAAAAGTCAAAGTAATAAAGCACAAAAAGAAGGCTACTAAAATATAATATATTTGAGATTAGAAAAGCAAAAGCCCAAGAATCAAGATTGGCTTTGAGAAATCTAGCAATAAAAAAAGAGAACAGCTGTATTTACTTCTAACCTGATCCAAATGTTATACACGTAATTAAATTCCTCTGCTGAATTGTCTGTTTTTTAACCATGTCTGGAATAGAATGGAATGGAATGGAATGGAATACTTTGTAGAAAAATGATAATATATAGCGTTCGTTTTTAACCTGAATAGGTAGGTATTTAGCAATTACAAATAGTACAAATAGTTTTTGCATCAAGCTCTATGCGCTGCTCCGCTGCTACGCTGCTACATACGGACGTTTTTGTACGCGTTCATGTACGTGTAGGTATACAAAAACGCGCATACAAAAACGTGCACGACGGTAATAGTGTATTACCATTGAATAAAAAAGTATTACCGTATATTACAGGCAAGTAGAAAAATTATACGAATTACGTATACCCATTGAATAAAAACACTATTTTTATTCAATGGTATACCGTAACTTAAAGGAGAAAAATCTCAATGGTTGCCAAGGGTCGTCGATTGCAGCCCCGATGGATGCATCACAAAACACGCTAGAAACGTAGTTTGTGCCAGATTATCTTTGCAAGTTTCAAAAGCATGGTCCAAGTCTGGTGTCCAATTTACGGGTTGATTGCCTCGAAGTTTAGACAAAACAGCATGAAGAGGAGCTTGAAGTAGTCCTTTCGCATCAGGTGGGCCAGAGAAGTGAGGGCAATGGGCGTTCCACAAGGGTCGGTTTTGGGACCTCTTTTGTTCATTATATACACTGCCACTCCCCAATTGCCCTAAATATGCAATGCAGCTTGTGTCTACAAGATCTGTTGGACGTGAGTTGGAAACGCTGCATCCAAATGGCACGCAAGAGGCTATCACGCACTGTAACACATCCCACCTCAAGGAGAGCAGGTGAAGGAATTCGGTAGCCAAGAGTAGACTATTGGGTGATATATGCGAGCGCCGGGCGAGCACGAATTGTGCCTCAACTTGAGCAAACCAGGGGGTCGGTTTTTCCTTCCAGAAAGGAGGTAATTTTACACCCATCCGATGAAGTTTTGGTGATGGCGTCGGTTTTGGGTTGGATTTATCGTGCTGTAGCCGTTGCTGTTCCTGTTGTTGCATTTGATGGATATGTTGCTGTAACGTTTCGTTTTGGTGCTTGAGTTGTTCCAATTGAGTTTGTAGAAACTCCGTGGCTTCCGAAGTATACACGTAACACCTTTATAAAATGCTACGCGTAAAATTCATCCTGACACGCACAAAAAAAATTACAACAATTCGAACCCAGAACAGCACCGCTAATGTCAATCACGTCGGGGTAACCACTTTGTGGCGGAGCAGGTACAGGTTAAATAATTCTCGACCACTAAATGTAAACCGAGAACGATTTTAGCGCATTTTCCAAGGAAGTCAGGTGCGCTTTTCCAGCAACTTTTTTGTCCGTCTGTCTGTCCGACCGTCTGTCCGTCCGTTCGTCCGAGGTCTTAACTACTCCTACAAATTTCAACATCTTTAGTTCCTTCTTTTTGAAAAATCTTGACGATTAATATGCGTATATAAACTTTCTTATTTATTAATATATTTCTGTTGAAATTTTAAACACAGACATTTCTAGTAAATGCAAACATATCGCATGTAGTAAAAATCAGATGTGCGCATGCGCAGATTGCGCAATGACAACTTTCTTTATTTATAAAGATCTCTCTTTAAAATTTTAACCATAGACGCTCCTAGTAAAAACAAACATATCGCATGTAGTAACAATCAGATGTGCGCATGCGCAGATTGCGCAATGACAACTTTCTCTATTTATAAAGATCTCTCTTTAAAATTTTAACCATAGACGCTCCTAGTAAAAACAAACATATCGCATATAGCATAAATTAAATCTGTGCATGCGCAAACGGTGCAACGTCAACTTTCTTGTTTATCAAGATACTTTCTAAAATTTTAACCATATATGCCTCTAGTACAGAACAACATAGCGCACATAGCTATCGCCTGTTAGAAAGTACCTACTGATCAATGCATGGAAAATGGACTGAACTCACTCGCCTTAGGGCGAAAATTTTTTTACTTGTTATTAGTTTAATGCTCTGTTTCACAAACAATGATTAAGGTTAATCAATGATTAAAAATATTAGAATGTTAGCTACCTTTGATTATAAGCTCATGCGTTTTCCCAGTCTAATATTTTTAATCATTAATTAACCTTAATCATCGGTTGTGAAACCGGGCATATAGGACTTATACAGAATTTCTATTCCTCCTCCACAAGACCTATTACAGTCGCCACCAATACATCAATAGTTAATGTCCAAGTGGCAACATTATGCGAGAGGTTTATTTTACACCATTGAATGGAAGGGTTACACGTACACATCTTAATCAAGTTAAATTAATGTTCAAATTATCTTGACATTTAAATTGTAGCATTGTTGCAAGAGCAACGCGTAGATAGCATTTTTGTAATAAAATTTATTCTGAAAATACAATGATGTACCTACTACTGTGTTTCATCGATCAAGTTTATTGTTAATTACTGAAACACGATTTAATTTTTCATGACAAAATAGCC